GGTGTTGGGTTGACGGTTGGACTCGATGATCTTAGAGGTCTTTTCCAACCTTAATGATTCTATGATTCTATTCTATGATTCCCAGCTCCCAGGGACTTTCTGGCCCCAGTGGGGACGGAGGACCTACGTTCAACTGCTGCCATCCACTGAGATGCCTTTCATGTGAGATTCTTGGGGATGCCCAGTAGCAACAGTGTCCCCAAAGCAAGGTCCTGAAGAGCTTAGGGACCAAATCCAAATCTTCCCACAGAGCAGTGATGGTACTGCCATAGGGCCAGCAAGACACCAAGCATCCTCACTTGTCCCTACACAGATCATGACTTGGCTTCACAGTCAACTTGCAGTGCTTGATCAGAGGCAGAAGAGCTGGTTATTAGACAGCACTGGGGGATTTCCCCTTAGGCATAAAATTAATCCTAGGTTGGCACCACATGGAAGAAGGAAGTTGTTAGTAGTATCCTTACAGTTCCACGCTGGAAAAAATGCTCAGCGGATAGTGCTCTTGCCAAAACCTTCCTTACCCCTTGGAAAGGCAGACCAGACTCCCCAGGTACCTCCACATGCTTTTCACAGCCATGCAGGCAGCTCCATTCCTTGGCTCTAGGTTAGTGGTCCATGGCAGAAATGTTAATGGAATGAGGATGCAGAGCAGAAGATCTCTTAGATTTCCAGTCCTTCTTGCGAACCAGACTGTAGCTCCCACAGAGCTCTAGAAGGCTTTTGCAGAATTTTCCCCAGCCCTTTCCCAACAGTGCAAAAGACAAAAGCACAGGGTCTCACATCAGGTAACCCTAGAACAGTTTAGAGAAATATAATCCTCTAAATGCCTGGGAACTAGCAGGCACTGAGAAGGAGAGGCCTGGAGTTAGGATGTAAGAAACTACTTGGGGATCTCAGTATAAGGGTATACATTTTACTTCCTGACAGTGCAGCTGCATGAGATCTTTCCCTGTGTACTCAAAAATGACCCATAAGCAGGACCTGTCACTGAACAGAAAGTCCATCCTCTATCAGTATAAGGGTGAAATGGTTGTCAAAAACCAGCATTTCACCAGACATAACACAATTTAAGAACCCCACTTGTTTTAGATGTCATGACAAGATGCAAGTGATGCACCCTGTATAGCCAATCATAATGTAAGAAAAATAATGTACCTAGATTTAAAAAGTAAAAAGCCTAGTAAAACATTTGAAAACTAAAGAATCACACCTGCATCACAAGCATTTTCTTACTGCCAGACTCTAAAGAGCCAACTGCTTCCATTTCTCCAAACATTTAAGTATGTTTTTTGCACCTACACTGGTTGACCTGAACACTTGCTGCCTAATAAAAATTTACTCTCTCGATAACAGAGATATGTGCTGTAGAACAGCACGTTCTGCTGAAGGAGAGAAACCTCAGCCCTTTAAAATACAATTTTCACACAAATTCTGAGCTGGAGACTCTTTATACAAGATCCCACCAGAATTTACCCAGGGAAGACAGTTCACTTGTATCTATGAAGTCTTGGTAGCTGCTGTTCATGCAGGCTATTTTTTTCTGCAATTCCAGTTTCACTACTTTTCCATCATTTATTTCTAAGCTGCACCTGCTCAGCAGTTTCCTTTTCCTGTTTTTCTTCCAGATGTACTATTAATTCAGAAGTAAATCTTACACATCAAAATATGTCCATGCATGTATTACCACGCCCTGGACCTGTACTTACACACAATAAAAAAATTACAAAAGCCAAGTGGCCTCTTCTTCCCTGCCCGATTAACAAGCAACGTTCAGACCCAAAGGAATCCCAATTCTGGGGTGACTGTATTATTTTTCTGACTCTGCTGCCATCTGCACCTCCTCCCAGTTTCGTTTCATTTGCACAAATGTCTGTTTTTCTGTACACATCAATCAAGTCCCTGCACTTTGCTACAGTCTTAATATCAAGCACGCTGCAAAAAAAGGAAGCAGTTACTCAGCAGCAGACCTTCAAAGTCCTCACTTGCACGAATGACCCCCAGGACTGCGACTCACCAAGAAAGTCCAGCCCAAGTCTTCCCTCACATCAAGACTGATGATACCACTGAGAGCATCACTACCCCGGTACTGCCCTGAAAGAATCAAAGGGGTCAAGAGCCAGACTGACTTTGTGTGGCGCACCATGATCAACTAACTCAGGACAGACACACCATTGCTTGGGGAAACTCTTTGGCCCTTCGTTATTGTAACAGCTTTTAAAATGAGCAGCCTTCCTTCCGCAGTCACCTCAAACCCTCTGCTGAAGGCCACCTCCATGCCCACTGGAAATCCATCCCAGCTAGCAATCAACCTCCTCTTAGTGGTTCTCTGCAGGGTCTGAGGGCAAAAGCATGGAGCTCAGCTTCTTCTCTCGGAGCTCTCACACAAAGTACAGAGGCTGCCATCAGTGTCGTGCTGGATCCACCCATCACACGCGGAGCATGCGAGGGAACGGGAGCATACGCAGCCCTAGAGGGGCTGCACCTCTCCTCCTCCTCCTCCTCCTCTCTGCCATATGTCTGATTCTCTCCTATTCCCTGAGCTCCTGTGACAACCCAGAGCCAACTTCAAGATGCAAATAAGAGAATCAAAGATTTGCTATTTACACTGTTAAAAGAAAACCCCAAGTTCCTGTAGCACATGCCAACTGCATAACGGAGGGACATTTAACAGCCCCTGCGCTGTTAGGCACCAAAAGGGACGGCAAGTTACCCTGCATCCCTACCGCAGCACTCCTACACCATCTTCTGCAGCCACCGGCCAGTGCCCGCCGCTGGGGACGGGACAAGCCA